TAGGCTGTGGCTTTCTCAACACCATGTTGAAGAAGAAAGATGCTGGTTTGGCCATGATTCTAACCCATTACTTTCAGCTTAGCAGTACGCAACAGTACCTACTTCGCATAGAAACTGAAAATAATGATGGCAAAACACTGATCTTTATAAAGAGATACCATATGAAAAAGGTGGCTAAATAAAAAGTGTTGATATAACGTATTTACATACATACGAATATGTATTCATATATGTGAGTACTTGTATAAATACCAAATTACGATTAAACGAATTTTAAATAAAATCATCCAACAAATTTTTAATTCTTTTAAATCAAATCACAATTTATTTTTTCTTTCGTTTTTTGTTGTTGTTTATAGCATAATTTTTAAAGAATTATGCATCCATTAATCAAAATTGTGGCACATAATTTAGGATTCATAATTCACACAAGCCAAATGATATTTCAGCTCAATTACTGCCAAACTAAGCGCCCCGGAATAGAACGACGCAAAGTGTCCAAGCCAAGCAGTGGCAATAAATGTTTCGCATATGCAAGTTTTTATGAATTTTGAAAAATGAAATTGCATAAAAACTTCTGCATTAATTATGTTCGCAACACAAGCAACCACAACGGCAATGACAACAAACACAACAGCAACAGATATCATACGTAGCGCCGCTGCAGAATATTTTATTTTGCACTGCAATTTTTCTCAAATTTGCTTATTAAGCATAACGGTGTCCACATACATAAGTACTTGAGGGCCAACAAAATTGAGCGAATAAATTGTATTTAGCGGTTAGTGGGGATTTGGATCTTGGCAGCAGCAAGGTGTTTTGTGAAGACGTTGCTAGGCAGGGGTACACATAAAGCACAAGAAAACATCGGAGCGCGTTCGTTTTCAACTTTTACTTCGAACTTGGAGATTTTTTTTGAAATACAAAATTTTATCATTGGTGTTAGCATTTCTCCAATCGGATCATATTATGTAATGTTCAACTAGCGAGACATTGCTATTTATTTTTTTTGCAACGAAATGAAATTATTGCTGTTGAAACCGCACAAACTCATCGCTAACGGTTATTCTTTTTCAGTTTTTTTTCAAATTTTATCGTTTAACATAATCTGTTAACGACTTAACATTAACGACAGCTTTTCGTTTCGGGTAAAAATTGGAAAAAATTTTGATAATTAGCATATAATGGATGGATTTGTGATGTTTCAAATAAATTCATTGGAAATTTTTGATTAAGGTGGCATTTATCGATTCGATACAGCCTTGGTTTTGCCCGGAAAAGGAGTTTTCACTGTGATCATCATAACGATATATTATAAGAGGATCACTCCCGATTTTAATCAATTTCTAACAATGCATTAATGAATATAAAAGAATTGTTGTCTCGATAATATTGATTGAGTGTTTCATGTAATAAATCATTTCTTTATAAAGATGGACAGGCCACCTACAATTCGGGGTGATCCGTTTTAGTGTATGTATAAAATTTATTCACAAAATTTGTATCCAGGTTGACCGAAATAAATATATAAAAGTATATAAAACAAATATATATATATAATATATAATATATAATATATATGTATACATATGAAGACACTTCTTGAATCAGGGACTCATCAAATTCCTTTTTTGATGGAATCATGGAATCTTCTTAAGCACTTTAATAAAGCAGAATAGTTAATGCATTAATATCAGGAACTGGAACTTTTTTAACAAAGTCTATAAAAGGTAATTGTGATATTTCCTCTAAATAAAAAATTTTTCTCTGAATCCCCTTTTCTAATTATAGATAATAGTTTTTTTTAAATATAATAAAGAACTAAAACAAAAGTACTTAAAATTACTCAACAGAAAAATGGTTTGTACCAATCCATTAAATTAAAAAAATAATTAATCCCTTAAAAAAATACTAGAGTAGATGAAAAGTCAATATATGAAAATCAAAGATTTTGAAAAAATATTTTTATGGCTACTTGCATTGTGGAGCCAAAAGTAAAAAGGGAAATTTCCTAAAATAAGTAAGATTTACAATGAAATGAAATATTAGTTTTTTCCTTTAAAATATTTTTAATTTATGTTAGATTAAACATAAATTACTTTTAACTTAAAATATGTATATACTAAGTAATTCTCAATTTAAAAAAAAATATACATATGTGTATAAAAAAAAAATAGGAAAATATTTTTTTTTTACTTAGATGGAAGAGGTTGTACTTGGCCTTGTAGCTAACATTTCATTTGAATTCCAAGATATCAAAGACTCATATATTTATCGCCAAAGTCATTTAAAATTAAAGTTTAATTTTATTTAATTAAAGAAAAACATTTCTGCCAGCACGTCACTGTTGCGTCGATGCATTTTGCATATTTACTTGCTTATCGTTTTATTTATTTATTTTTTGCAGTGCTTGTTCCTTAGCCGTTCACTGGGGAATACACGAGCAATGTGCTAAGCACTTACTTAAAATTATAATTTTATTTGATTTGATTTCTTTTTAAGTAGATATTTTAACATCAAAACAAGCGTTTGGCATAGCCGGGGGGACATAGTACATAGGTACGTGCAGTTGTGTGTGCACTAGCTTGTCAAAGACCTGCGCCACAATATGTAGGAATGTGCATTTGTACGGAAAGAAAAACGGGGCAATACCATTTTGTAGGGGAGAAATTACATTCTTTGGCATTGACGGATGATGAGCTGAATTCAATGCTCTGCAACGGTATGGCGTTTAGCGAATTTATAGCCACCGATAGTCGAGAGGCATTCAGAGAAATGGCAGAATTATATTTCACAGCAATTTTTTGCTTGCTTATTTATTTACACTTTATTTAAATACAGTTAATTATTTGTTAGACGATATCAAAAACATACGTGTACACACATACATATTGGCAATTGCATAAATCCGTACAAACATATGTACAATAAACAGTAAAAGCATTTGATTTTATGTGATTTTGTATAATTTATTTGGTTTTCATTAACAAGTTTAAGTTTCTTTAAGATTTTACAAAAAATATGGTATGCCCTTGTATTCCTTAATTAATTTGAAATGAGACAATTTATACATGATTACCTTTTGGGTATGAAATATTTAAAATTACACATACAGATATACCGAATTTCTTACTAAAAATAATAATTAGGTAGACGGACATTTGCTAAAGCAGACTCAAACACTTCAACTACACTGTTGCCACAAGCATTTAGTGAATATTTTTAATATATTTAAAATTGAAAAATTGTGATTTTTATATTTCTTAAATATTTCATTATTTTCTAATTTACAACGACATTCCATTTTTAATTTTTACCTAAAATGATAAGAATTTTCAAATGAGCGGTTTTGAATGTTTGCGAAAATAATTTATGTATATAAATAATTTTTTTAATTTAAATTTAACTATTTGAGCGGATTGCAAAGACTTTTAAGGCTACTGCAGATTCATGTATGTGGCATAGCTGAGTAAAAACAGAATCCTGCTAAATACATACAAATGAAGTTTGCGCTTGAACTCCACCCCGTTGTAAGGATCAGGTGGAGAGCAACCTGGCGACACTTGGCTAAAATCGCGCAGGCAGTGCTTATGCCAATTAAGAAGAAGAAGACAGAAATTGTTCAACTTTTGTATTACATGCAAATGCTTTTTTTTTTGCAAAAAATAAGGAATAAATAAAAAATTTTAATTTTGAGTTTTAGCATAAAAAAAATCTTGCTTCCTCATAGTTAAAGATTTTCAATCAATTCAGCCAAAGAAAATGTTTAATATTTATATGTATGCATGTATTTAGGTATTTGCTAGTATTTCAAGTCACCAAATTTAGGTAGCCATTAATATTCTATTAATTTTTATATTACATCATACATATACATAAGTTGGTGGCCGGAGTACACAATTGGTTAGCAGTAATTACCACCATGGTGAAACCAGCAAACGATAAGTTAGAGCGGATTAAATAAAAAGGGAATTTCTTCAATTGCAATCGCTATTCGACCGAAATGTCAACACCTTTAGGTGTTGGTCTGAAATGACATAAAAAGCTGCTCTTAAAAAGCCATCGGCGGTTCGGAGGCGGACTTGGACAAACTGTGGGTCCTCCATTTGTTGGAAAAACATCAAAACGCTCACCAATTTTTGTAGAGAAGCTCAGCCAAAAATCGCTTTAGCGGTTATAAAGCGCCATTGTGGCTGCAAATACTCGTAAGCGTAAGGTTTGCTAAATCATGGGTACATAAAGCAACTCATTAAAGACGAACTACTGGTATTAAAAAAAATTGGTTTTGTAATTTTCTATTGTATGCATATATACACGTACATACAAATATTGAATTTTCTTTATTCTTTGTAATCGCATATAATAAACATTGCATTTTTGCCCATTTTCGGTTTTTATCATTTTTATTTATAATTTATTACTTAAAACTTCTTTGGCTTATCTTACATTCTTATATACATATTTATTTAAATTAAATTTTATTTAAATTGCATTGGGAAGATGAAGTTCATTTTTATTATATAATTTATTTATTGTTTTTTAATTACAGTTTTGTAAATAAGTACGAACCTTTGAGTATAGATTTTCTAGACAAGTGTACATATTGAAAATAAAGATCAAAGCAAAAAAGCATTCTAAATAAAAGCAAGCATAATATATATTTTTATATATATATATGTACATATGTATTTATGAAGCTAATATTTTTTTGGAATTATTTTCAAATTACATAGTATATTACATATATACATTTGTATTTTTTGTAGTATCGCGCGCTTGAAAGTAGTTCGTAATTTGGAGCGTTTGTGAGGAAATCATCATAAGCTATATGCTTAAAGGGTGTTTGTAAGGCTTCAACACTGCTTTTTTTGCATAGTTATTTTCTGCATTTATTTATTATTTTAAGTCTGCAAATGATTTTGAGGGATTTGTCATCAATTAAATCTTATATATGTAAAACAAAATAAAACAAACTATTTTTCCTGTTATAAATATAATATTCAAAGCAACAGATGGATTTATATAAAAATTTAAATAATATTAAAAAATATTTTCATTTTTTAGTATCAGTATTAAACAAGCATATTAAAGGTTCGTCTGATTTTTGCAATTAAAAAAAAAAACAAAAAAAAACCATCCTCATAATTATAAAAAATTTAATGTTAATTTAATTTAAATGTTGCTATAATGAGTTTGAACTCATAAAAACCCAGAAACAGCTGTTGATACCTTTTTGAAACTTTGAAACACCGAATGAATGAATTTCTTTTGGATACTACGGTTTTGAAGAAGGCTGTGAAGGGCACTGTTACTCTGGCAGGCTCCGTGTTTTCTATATCCAGATTATCACAGTTTTTCCCACAATGCATAATACCAAAATAGCAATATACATACATATGGATGTATGTGCATACTCGTATGTTCGTTAACACTCTTGCTTTTGCGCTTTCGCTGTAGTTTTGTACCACTTTAAATAATTCCTCTTGGTAATTTGCTTGCTATTAATTCTTATATATTTTGCAATATAAAAAAAAAATAAATTATATTAAATAAAAACAATTTATAAATTAATTTAAATACATATACAAAGATATTCAGGTTCTTGAGGAATGCCTCTATTTCGACTCTCTCTTTAAATTATTTATATTATTTTACTTTTTACATAGATGTACATACATATATATTTCGCAAAGTTTGTATAAAAAATGAGACCCTAAAATTATCAAGCCCACAGCGTCAAGGTTTGCTTCTTGAAAATTTAACTAAAACTCAAAACACACATACACACTCAAGCACACACAAAATTAGTCACCTACACTTACATATATATTTACATATTTAAATTAATCAAATACATATAAAATAAAGTCACGCTCGCAATCACACGTACACCGATCACTGATTTACACTGAAGCTATTGGTTATTGATTTGCATTCTTGAAATCCTGCCACCTCATAGCCCATGATCATTTGTGTTGAGGAAACTGCGACACACACGGCTCACTTCCGGATTCGCATGATTCATTAGCTGCATGTAGATCTGTTTATGCAATTGGATTTCATTGGTCATCTCCTGCAGTTGTCGCAACAGTGCCTCTTTCTCCTTTAGCAATGTCTTGACACGTTCCTCCACCTCACGGGAGCGCACCTTCGCCTTTTCGCGCGACTTTCGCACTGCGATATTGTTGCGTTCACGCCTTCTCCGGTACTCATCGCTACCCTTGTCCACGTGCTTCAGCGATGATTTGCGTTGATTGTGCAATTGTTTGTTGTGGTGTTTGAGTAGATGCGCCCCTGCGGCCAAATGCGGTAAATTGACGGAGTGATGCGCCAACACATTGGCCGAAGTGAGGTTTGTGAAATTGGGCGTTGTGCCGCCAACGCCATTGTTCATGCCACCATTATTGAGCTGCCCATTGTTTGCCGTTGTCTGATAGGGATTGTAGAGACCGTTTGCGCCACTATTTGTAATGAAAGCAGCTGCAGCAGCGTTGTTGACATTTGTCTCTTGTAGATGACGACGATATTCCGGATCGATTGGCTCCTCTTTGATGGTGGATGTGTCCGAACCAACTGAAGAGTTCTCATCGCTCGAATTATTACTATACGCTGCGCCGGAGTGTACTGCTTGCGGCATGTAGGCCAGGGCGCTGCGTCCATAGTTGTGCTGTTGTGTGCGTAGGGATTGTTGTTGCAGTTGATGTTGCTGCAACACCTTTGCCGCTGCACTTACCATGCCGTTCGGTGGTAGTGTGGCCGATAAGCCACCAGGGCTTGTAACCATATCGCTGAATATACCCAAACCCTCTTGCTCACGAAACTGGTCGTCGATCAAGTGTTGCAGATCCAAAGTGATCTCCTGTGCGGTTAATTCATCAAGATCTGACTGTGTGTATTGCTGCAACATTTGCTTCTGCAGCAAGTTGTTCACGTTATTCATATTGGCGTTGATAGTGGAGGCATTGTTGTTATTGTTTAACGCAGCAGCTGCATGCTGCATATGATGTACGGCATGTTGCTTGACTACGAGACCAGAATTTTGTTGTTGTGCAGCAACAGCCGCAACTGCTGCTAAATTTCCAACATTGTTATTGTTATTATTTGCGTCTGTACCGCTATTAGTTGGATTACCATTGGGATTGTTGTTGATGTTGCCATTGTTATTTTGTTGCTGTGCACTGGACATCGCAGTCAATGTGATCTGGCCGATCTGTTGAGGCGGTGGCTGCTTTTTAAGGTCCAGCTGGGAGAGGGTCTGCACGGTGTCGTACATCTGCGGTGACTCCATATTGAGCATTTTTAGTTGCGCGAATGAGGGCAAAATGTTTGCTGTTATTTAATTTCTCACTCACAAATGGAAGTTGTTTTATGCAATTCAATTTATTATTGCGCCGATTGAGTTTGTAAGAGGGAAGGGGCTTAAAGCACTTTCTTCATTCTTATACATATATGTAGGTATGTATGAGACTAAATCCAAAGCGAGACTTAATTTTTTTGATTTCACAATTTTTTCAAATAAATTGTCCAGCACAAATTGTTGTTAGTTAGCAATTATTTGATAGGGTTTTCATGAGAACATTGGACTTTTATTTTATTAATTTCTTTTTTAAAATCCTAATATGGATTCTGAACACTTCTTCACTAATTCTGAGGTAAGATCTTTGGGTATTGTTTGAAAAATTTTTCAATTTCAATTTTTAATTGGTTTAATGCTTTTGTTTTGAAGTTTTCGTAACACTTTTTGAAGAGGTATTTCTACCTTCAGCACTGCCTAGTTGTTCATTTCTTTGTTAAATGTTTATATGTTTTAATGTTTTTTATTATATACTATATATATAAATTTTTTTTTAAATATATCGCCACATTAAATTCAAATATTTTGAAAAAGTCATCATAGTTTTGATTCAAATATTTTTATTTCTGTTATTTATTGCGCTTAATTTTTTGCAAATAATTTTTTTTTATTCTTCTTTAGCCAGCAAATTTAAAATTGTCTTTCGTTATTGTTACTATTGGCAGCTTATTTTTGTCTGGGCTAACACGCGCGACGTCACTTTTGCTCAACAACCTTCCTCGGTCGACTGAAGTGTTTCACAAATGATGCAACCGATTTTATATTTTCCACTTACACGACGTGCGCGTCCGCGTCCGCATCCGCTCGCGAGTATAACCAACTCACTCACTTGCACTTATCGCTGCTGCCTTCGCGACTGTAATGCCTGTGCGCCAAGTCTTCAGCGTCTTCGTTTTAGCCCAATAATGACGAAGATGTTTTCGTATATAACAGTAGTGCAGTCGCCGTCGACTAAGTTAACGCAACGCAAAAGAAACAAAGCCGTACACGACCCGCCGAAAAATAAGCACATAACCACCGACCAAGTAACCAAATCACCCAACCGCTAACTGCTCGCATAAGCTACAGTGACTACAGTGACGTCGTTTATGCAATGATGAATGACGAATGTGGGGAAGCTCGCAACTTTTTTCCGAGGGAAACAAGTTCTCAGTTATAAACGACTCCAGTGGAAATGTGTTACGCCCAAAACTCTCTGCTTCTTGCTATCACTACTACTTGCTCCACAACCAGAGTTCAGACAAACGAAGCGTCGCACACGTCTTAGCGCCACAATTGGTGAATTGTAACTAAAGTCTGATCCGCAACTCGCTGTTGTAATTCCTGCCACCAGCCGAAAAAGATAATTCGAAGAAAGAGAATCAAGTAAAATAGAAAAGCAGACAAAAGTGAATTACAAAAAGAAATCTTCGTTTGTCCAAAAGAAGTTGCCGAAAATACATTAAAAAGCCACATATAAAAACTGATCGTAAATCACAAAAAGAAATACAAAGAAACAGAGGGAAACACGCACATAAACACACATACCTACATGTTTTAGTGCACACTTTCACACACAAATGGTTACATTTGTACACACATATACGTATGTACATATATATATATATGTTCGTATATTTGAACACGTAAGTATGTACGTACGTGTATATTCGATTCTTCTGTAAAATTAAAAACAAAAAGAGACACCATAAACACCCCGCTTTCCGAAGTTGTATCGTCTGTCTGTAAGCTTTTATACGCAAATTACTGCGTTGCTGCTGCTGCAACTACCTGTGGATGACGCGCACCACTGCCCCACTAACGCGACGCATACATACATACATTCATATGAGCACTCTCACACCATTCCACTCTCAATTAGCTTGTGACTACGCCAATGCCGCCCCACCGTGATCGTCCGCTCTTTGCCGATAAACGAATGCTCAGAGTAAACCAAACTAAACCAAAACACTTTCGCTCTCGTTTATGGAATGCCGTCTGCATTTTAGTTAGCTTTTCTGGTGGCTCACCTGGTGCTAGTAAGACGGTAGTTTGCTGCATCGATAGCTGCACTATCAACATTTCATTGTTGTTTTTATTTGTATTTTTATTTTTATTTTTCGGCTTGATATGACGTAGTTGTTTTCAAAGCGGTTTGACGAGAATCCTCAAAGCCAAAGTGATGGGTTCAATTATTATTAAGGGTAATAATAAAAATAAGAATGTGTCAGTGAGAGAAAGAAGACGCAGTACAAAGTAATGCATTTTTATTGAGTGCTAGTTGTAACTTTTAAACGCCTTACGGCATATAAATATTTACATATATATATAAATATAAACATATATGTATAGACAATTGACGCTTTGTAACCGTTTAAGTGATTTTCGACCGAGCTGATGCTCCAATTTGAGGTTTTGCGTCTTGATGTTTTACCCCTAAATGGAGGAACCTACAGTTCATACTAAGCCGCCTCAGAATGGCTGATAGATTTTGTGAGGAGCCTTTATTTCATGTCAGAATTACACCTGGAGGAGTTGACACTCTCTGCAGAGGGAATAAGGAAATTTAACTTATTTTTTTCTTTAAATTAATTTTCTATTACTTTTGCATGTTTCAGCATTTTCAAGAAACCAACAATAATTTAAATTTGTTAAGGTAGAAATAAAAAGGTATTTAAGTAATCTACAATCTACAATATATCTTAAAGAAAGTCAGTTAACTTGGCCTAAAATGGGGTGAACCAGAAAAATATTTTCGGTGAAGTAAAGTGAACTGCATTTTCCCACTCAATCGAGCAGCAGAACAAAATGTTTAATTTAATTTTTAGGATTACTTTAGGTTTCAATGAATTTGAACTTTGCACATATTTACTTACTATTATATACCAGGCAGAATAAGGTAGGAGTTCTTAATTGAAATGCTACTAGAATTCAGTGCATTTTGCAGTACTATCCAGACTTGACCCCGAAATACCCAACGCATGCACAAACCATCTCTTTGCATGCCTTCTTAAAACAACTCCTCCCTCCCTCTGCCCCGAACTCGACGAAACATCTCGTTTTATGCAATTTTAGGTTTGTTTATATACATATGACAGTTCATTACCCTTCGGATGAGTTCATATACATACGTGCTTCAATAAATCACTATATACAACGACAATTTTTCACTGAAAAATCAGTGAAAATGACAAAGTTCGTCTTTAAACAAATGATTAGAACAAGATAGTGCTTATAGCATACAAATGTTTCAAAGTCTTTATCAATTTGATGAATTTCGCTCTTCCATGGAAACAAATCTGCACAGCAATTTGACTTTTATTCACTAGTTCTGTTTTTCACTGTTCGTGACGTCATGAAATCGTATTTCCGTACTTTATTTGTGTGTATGTTGGCTCTATTATACTCACATGCCTATGCTAACGGTATTATTTGTTGACTTCACGTACATGCGGGCAAGCAAGCAAGCAAGCACACACACAACTTATTATGAATAAACCAGCCCACAAAAACTGGTCCCAAATTGAAAGCAACAACAACAATTATATTAGTATGCATATAAACACGATCGAGATTCATGCTACTCTCGCTTTCATTTCCGATTCAGAGATACACGCGTTGGTGTTAGCTCCGTCGATTCAGTTGTTGTTTGTGGAGATGAGCGTGAGTCGCTTGCTCTCTGTTTACGCTTTGACCAATGTTGTGACAAGTAAGCGGACGGATAAAGTGGGGGTAAAGAGCTTGCGCTTGTTGGAAGACGTAACTCGTGAGGGCTCCGTTATCAGCTGATTGTTATTAAGTGTTGCGGTGGCGCTTTTATTATTGTGGTTTTGATTGTATTCGAATGAACAAAAAATGCGTGAGTTGTTAGAGTTGTTTGTTGTTGTTTATTTTTTCTACAAAGACTTCTGGGTACCGAAAGTATTTTTATATATTTATGTACATACATACATACGTACATATGTACGTGCTTTGTTTTCCGTTTAGCTCAGTAAGGCTCTAATTGATGATTAAAAAAAAAAATTATTTACAATTTTTAAAAAGCAGTTTAATAAATTATTAAGAACTCTGTACGTATTTTTAAATTTAATTTACAATAATAATATAAATATTATTCACATAAAATAGGTAAATACAAAAGAAACAACAATTAAAGAGCACTTTGAATGCAGAATAAATTTTACAAGTAAATCTCTCCTTGTCGGAAAGAAAACCGGAGGTTGAGATTGGTACTAAACGACTTCCCACGGCACCCCAATTACGTGTACATGCCGAATTACTTTACTCACCGTGCAAAGTTTTGGCAGGGAATAAAGTCAAAATCAAGTAAACAGCAAATAACTCCTATTCAATTTCTGTGCAAATTACGACTGAATTTCTTTTGTATTGTAAATTTATCGGCGTCATCATCAAAAACAACAAACACTGACTTTTATTTGTAGCAAAATATTATATTATTTGTCTTTCGAAAAATTCAAAAATTATAAAATCTTAAAATATAATTTCATTGAATATTTTTATTTAAAAAAAAATATTTTATTTGCAACTCTTTAAGCCTCTTCTTTGTTCTAATAAACTAAGATTTTTTATCTTCAGCTTTACTGATATGTACCTGAAGCAAAGAATTTCGAGCTCTATGAGGGTTGCCTTTTATAATTTTTCTAATTGCGGTCCTCGTCAGGGAATGTCAACCCCTCCGTGTGTGTTTTTGACATGAAATAAAGCTCTCATTAGGAAACCATCCGCCGTTCGGAAAAACATCAAGACGCAAAACCACAAATTGGAGGAGGAGCTCGGCCGAAAGTTACAAAGCGTCAGTTGTATATATATGGCGAATTCAATTGAGGTCGAAGATCACTCCAAAAAGATTTTCGTGAAGTTGCTGCTTCGGAAACTCTTGATGTCACGTGGCCTATCGTGAGATTGAGACTTCAGTCGGGCCAGCAATTCTTGCATGCAATTGATTTTAAAAAATTGATTCAGGCTGGATCGTGTCTGACAAACTGACAGAAATCTTAAAAAATTACGATAGCAGTGCTTCAAAAAACACGTCTATGACGTATGAGCTCGAAATCCGAATCGAACAAAAGTTGTCGGCGCACGAAGCACTTTCAACTAAATGATTGCCTTTTTTTTTTTTGGAAAAAGTGGATATTAGAATAACGCATAACAGTAAATTCTGAGTGGTATGCAACAAGTTGTTTGCCAGTTGTCTTTCAAGAAATCAGGAAAACCAAGCGCCGATTTTTTGAGTCATCCACCATATAGTACTGATGACTAATGACTACTTTTGACTCCCGTCCGTGAAAAATATACTTTTAGGTCAACGTTTTTCGACACCGAAAGAAGATGTTTTGGAGATTCGTTGATCAGAGTGGCAAAAGTGCTTCGACAACGAAAGTTTATACTAGATCTTAATGGAGAATGTTTTGAAATACAATAACAATATTCGGTTATTTATAATGCTTTTTTTCTAATCCCGAAATATGAA